CATTCAAATTCGACCTTCCAAAATGAATCACTTCACACTTTTCCGGTTGAATTCCACCTGCCACTTCTTTGCCCAGCTCTGCATCCTGTCAACGTCCTTTTGCAACCAACAACAGCCCCCCTCATTATCCACAACTCCACCAACCTTTGTGTCATTACCAAACTTACTAACCCATCCTTCCACTTCCTCATCCAATCATTCATATTGAATTTATATTATCTTGAATCATTTATCTTGAATTGCATAACAATAACACCCTGCACTGAGTGATGTTGTTTTTACAATAAATTGCAGAGGTGTCAACAAATTGTTTGAGAACAGTGAAAATCAGAGTGCTGAAGTAGTTTTAGTAGTCTGATACCTATCTGAGTTGCAGCTGAAAATGCAGAGTTACCACTGACAGTTCTTCAAATGAGTTTTCTCCAGTCCTCTCCTGCATGTTACAACAGTTGTTTTCCCTTCACCCAGAGAAACCAAAAGACTTGATTAAAGGTGGGATGGCCAGGCTGCTGACAGGTCTTGATGTAGGCAGCAGTATTGTGCGTCTGATCATTTCCTACCTGTAGCAATAAAGTAGAAAGATTTTGCCTTCCTCATCATCAGGGCATCGCAAAATGGCCATTTAATTTTTTCATGTGTAATTACTGTTGTAGCAATAGCTGATGTATGAACAGCAAGCTCCCACAAATTAGCAATGTGATCACAGCAGATAATCTATTTTTGTAACAATGACCGAGACAAATACCAGTTAGGACTTTTGGGGAGGGGTCATCACCCAATCAAGTTGGCTTTGACAGGTCTGAAGTCTCACACTCAACATAGGTAACAAGCTCACAAACCATTTTGTCAAAATAATTTCCCCTTCCAGGCAACAATTTTCAGCTATATCTAAAAACAGAATACAAATAATCAATCAATGTGAATAATTAACTGTGGAGTGGATAATTTCAAATATTTTTACTGACCTATGGTCCTCTTGACATAAATGGGCAGGTATGGCCATCTTCCAATTGCATACCACAGTAAGAGGAAGTAGCCTGTATGACTCCAGGCCCTGTGGAGGGGACTGATTCTGACCTTGATTCTGCTGCATCATTCATTGATCAGGGGAATGTAGTGTGATTTATAACAAATTGAACCAATTATAATTAGTACACAGTATGTGGTGCAGAGAAGTTAATAGGGAGTGACACAAACCAGATTCAGCAAAAGCTGCCAATTTGGCAAATGACTATTTTAAAAAAAAAGCTCAGCTCTGCTGTAGGGTAAGAATTAAATGTGAGATCAGTGAAGACAGAGATTATAAGTGATTGTGTAATTGAGAGTTTGTTGAGGTGAACAACAACTTGCATTTATGCACTCCCTTTCAAAACAAGGTGATCACATGAGGATTATTAAATAAAATTAATTAGGTTAGATTACAAAAGGTTTGGTCAAAGAGGCAAATTTAAAAGTTTGTTGGAAAAGAGAACTACAAAGGAAGGAGCCTTAGGGAATATTTGATATTTGGAGGTTGTAGGATTGGAGGACATTACAACTAGAGAGAGAGGGGAGGGATATGAAACCACAGGAGAATTTTAAAACCAGGGCATTGCTGTGAGTTAATGTAGGTCAGAGGGTGATAGAATAAGTGACAGAATGGAGGAGACACCAGCATTTGCATCCTGGAATCCAGACACAAATTCAAGAATAAACACAGGTTTGAGTTTCTAGCCAAAAATCTCTAATTCAAAAATAATTCAGACTCACAAGTGATACAGAAATTGGAACAGCATCATGTTGGTACAATATGCACTGCCCCTTCTTATTAAGGCTGAGAAGCAGGGTAAAATAAGTGATACTCTGCAATCACACCTACTGTGCCCCAGAGAAAACAAATTCAGAGCTCACCATGGCAGTCTGAGAATTTGGATTCAGTAAAAGAATCTGTAATTATAAAGCAGGGCATTAGTAAAAGAGACAGTGAAGCTGTCAGACTGCTGCAAAAACCTGACAAATATGCTTGTATAGAGAAGGAAACCTGCCATATTTAACCAGCCTGGGCTTATATTCGAATCTCATATCAATACAGCTGCCACAAGTGCATTGACAAATCACTCTCCATTGTGACCCAATGGATCACGAAAGGATAAGCAGTAAATGAGAGAGGCACCGCACAAATTATACAATTTTAGCACCATGCTGCTTTGATTTTCACACTTCGTGAAGTCCCTCAGGGCTGCTTATATGTTTAGAAATGTATGTAATCTTTTTACCCAAGTTCTCCTTCTTGCAAAAATGAAGCAGAAAGTGTATGCGGGTTCCCTAAGGAGGGAAAATAAAGCGCACTAAACTCTGAAGGTTAAAGGTTGCAGGGATTTCTAGCAAGTACTCAGTCATGTTACTGAGTTACCTGATCAGAACCAGGTGAGCGCTCAAACCATTAAGATTGCCTCATCACTCTTATGTATTGTTTCTGGGTGGAGTGTGGAACCAGAGGTTCTTCGTCGATCAGCTGCAATGCATGCCACGGCAAACTAGGTGTTCCACTCGAAAATGGCCAGTAGTTGTGGATGTACAACCCAGAGAGGAGCAGCAGCTCTGGGTGACAGGACTGAAAAGAAAAAAAGCTTTCAGCTTTGCTATTTGGCCATTTTCCAGCTCTACTGCTGTCCTCAGCTTCTAAACTCATTAATGCAGCATTTAGTTCACCATGACAAAATCCAACGTACCCAGGTGTCTCATTAATATTTCACAGCCAGTGGGAACATATTGACAACAGTTACACCAAACCAAGCCGTGTTAAAATTCTACTCTAGAAACTGCCAAAGATTTTCAATGGACCCAGAAACTTTCTATGTGTAAATGGCAAGCATTATTAGTTCATAGATAATACAGTGTAGAGCTGGACGAACACAGCAGGCCAAGACCTGAAGAAGGCCTTCCTGCTCCTAGGCCTGCTGTGTTCATCCAGCTCTACACTGTGTTATCTCAGATTCTCCAGCATCTGCAGTTCCTACTATCTCTGATTATTAGTTCATAACCTTCACATCTTACAATCAACACTCAGTCTCCTGAATTTGTTAGGAAAAACAGGGGACTACATCAGCCAGGGCTTGATACCTGTGAAAGACAGAGATAGATAAATTCTGGATTAGGAAAGGGATCAAAAGTTACAGGATAAGGAAGGAGAATGGGGTTGAGAAACATATAAGCCATGATCAAATGGCAAAGCAGACTCAATGGACTGAATGGTCTAATTCTGATCTGATATTTTATGGTCTTAAAACAGACCCAAATAGAACACTGCAGACTATTTCATCTAAAATGTTATGCTACCACCAATATGCTTGGTAAACAATATATTTCGCAGGCTTTGTGTGGATGCCAAAATATTCTGAACACACCAAGAATCCTCTTTAATATTCAGCTATTTATTTTTAAACCTTAGTGTGAAACAGCTGCTTAGCATTCTATACCAGACACCTCCATAAATAGGTAAATTATTTCCAACACCCATGAACAAATCAATGCAAGTCCACCTACACACAGCAGCTAAATCTCAACATCAAAATAGGTAGCACATCTTATTTCTGAAAGTTCTCACTGTACACCTCAGCTTCTGCTTCACAAACTCAATTTGATCACTGACACTTCTGTCTGCACACAGGCGTGGGTTACATGATTCCAGAGGGAAGGAAAGCCGTGCCAATCATATGCTCTGGCACAAACTAACATGGACAAAAGAATGGAAGTCTAAAGGTGAGGTGAGAGTGATCTCTTAACATCAAGGTTGCATTCAAGTGAATGTGGCATCAAGAAGCCCTTGCAAAACTGGCATCAGTGGGTATTGGAACAAACTCTCTGCTGGCTGGAGTTATACCTGACACAGGAAAATGGTTGTGGTTGTTGGTCAGTCAGCTTAGCTCCAGGACATCTCTGCAGGAGTTCCTCAGGGTAGTCTCCTACACCCAACTATCTTCAGCTGCTTCATCAATGACCTTGCGTTCATCATAAAGTTAGAAGTGGGGAAGTTTACCAATAATAGCACAATGTACAGTACCATTCACAATTCCTCAGATGCTGAAACAGTCCATGTTCAACTGTACAAGATCTGGAAAATATTCAGGCTTGAGCTGACCAGCGGCAAGTAACATTCGTGCCATACAAATGCTCGGCAATGACCATCTAATCACCGCCCCATGACATCCAATGGTGTTACTATCTCTGAATTCCCCATATCAACATCCACGGGGTTATCACTGATCAGAAACTCACTGGACTTGCCACATAAACACAGTGGCTAGAACAGTAAAGTGAGAGGGTAGGGATACCGTGGTAACTCACTCCTGACTCCCCAAAGCCTGTCCAACATCTACAAGACACAAATCGGGAGTATGCTGGAAAACTCCTCACTTGCCTGAATGAGTACAGCACCAACAACACTCCAAGAAGCTTTACAACATCTAGAACACTTGATTACACCACATCCACAAGCATCCACTCCCTCGACCACCGATGCTCAGTAGCATTATCTACAAGATGCACTGCAGAAATTCACAAAGATCCTCAGACCGTACCATCCAAACCAATGATCACTTCCGTCTAGAAGGACAAGGGCAGCAGATACATGCGAACACCATCACCAAGTTCCCCTCCAAGCCACTCACCATCCTGACTGAGAAATATCTGTTGGGTCAAAATCCTGAAATCCATTCCCTAAGGGCATTACAAGTCAACCTACATGCAGCAGTTCAAGAATGCAGGTCAACACCAGCTTCTCAAGGGCAATTACGGATGGGCAGTTAAAAAAAAAAAAATGCTGGCCAGTCAGCTCAGATCCCAAGAGCGAATTAAAAAAAAAACTCAAGTCACTAGACCATTGGTAATTGACTATCTTTCCAGGGAACAAGAGTCTAACCAAAAAGTGGTCCTGTGCGATAATTTAATAAACAGGTTTTGAGATACTTGGGCCACCAACAAAGAACATTACAAGGAATTGTGACAGAAACTGTGAAAAGTTATCATCTGGAAATATTTTACTTGCAGAATCTTCTCAGCATATAACATTTGTGTCATTTTGTGCTTGGAGAAATCACAAGACTTATGCATAGTTTCAAACACAGGCCTAGCGAGGATGAATTCTTGGATCTTCTTAATGGTCCTACTATTCCACACATGGTGACAGCGGGCAAGAGTGCTCCTCCTTCAGGCATTAGTGATGTTCCAAAACTTTGGTCAGAAGTTTGTTCAATCTGCTGACCATTGGTCGGGGATCATCATTTAGCCCTGCAGCAATCATGGCGTTATCATAAATCTGAAAGAAAGCAAGCCTGTGGTCACATTTAGATAATCCCTTCAAACAATCACTACCATTGAATATGCCTTTGCTGTTTTCTTCAAAGATAAAAACTTATTCCAAACAGATATACATAGGAAAAAAAAACAAAGAAGTAACCGCAAATGCTGGAAATCAGAAACAAAATCAGAAATTGCTGGAAAAACTCAGCAGCTCTGGTAGCATCTGTGGAGAGGAAGCAGAGCTAATGTTTCTTCAAAACAGATACATATGATCATGCATATAGGCACATGCTACCACTTTGATAATTACACAAACATGTAAAATAGAGTTTACAAGACAAATGTTTAAAGTTTCATTTGTAAGCTTTGGACATTTGACAACAACTCCTGATGTGGCGATTGTACTCCATCTGGAGAACTGTGTGTTGTTCTTTGTTGCCCTTGGTTGTCCTACTGACTGCAGTTACTCAATGTCATCAGTCATGTGCATTCATCCTCACACTCTTCATGCAACATTGGTCAGAACTGGCTTAAACTCTTTCACAATGTAGCATCATAATAAGTAATGACTATGATCTGCGCTGGGTGCCTATTTCAGGAGAATATAAATATATTTGTTAAAAATATAATTTTTTTTCAACACACACCATTCATTAAAGTTTCGGTACATCACTACCTGCTCATTTGTCACGTATCTCTTTCATTCTCCTCTATATTTGAAGAATGTCCTGAATCTCAGAATGGTTAGACAATAGCTCAATGACTGTATAACTGGCTGCTGAGCAATCATGGTTTGCACTTACCTTCTGAGCATAATGTGTCGGGGATGATATTTCTTTTTCCATTGATATTGCATGAAAATGCAGCATTGCAATGCAAAAATCTTGATATGTTGGTTGATATTTAGTGAATATTGATTTGACAGTACATACCATGTGTTCCGCACATCCTTTCAGCGTGATTAATGAGATACAAGTCATCCCCAGTTAGTACACGTGCATTGAAATAATTTGCCAGGAAAGCAGTTTGCAACACATTATTTCTAATGGCTTTTGATCAATTTTCAATGGTGAATATCTTGCCAAATATGTATATGTAACACTACAAGAAAAACTGCATGATGCCAAATTCCAAAGCCAATGTCTTGTGGTTGTACAGATGGCATGGCTTTTGAATAAAGGCAACAGCGATTTTGTCTTTCAAATAGCATGTGTCTAGTCCTTTCTGCAGTACGTCCACTTCACAAATTGTAGCTTTCTTGGGGTCTTAGAATGCAGTAGGCAAGATATTGCTGACAGAACATTTGAGGGAATCAAAAACGCATTGGTGGTTAACTTGCCACATTTAGAAGATACCCTTCTTGAGCAAATCTCTCAATGATACCATGTCTGCAAGGTTGGGAATATACAGTGAGAGGAAATTTAAAAATCTGAAGCAACATTGTAAACCCTCTATCATGTGGGGTAGGTATCTGTTTAACATCTTCAATCTTACTTGCATTGGGACAGACTTTATGGGCAGAGAAAACAGATCCAAGCAGTTTATCTGGATGATGTTGATCTAGCACTTTTGGCTGTTAAATATTAGTCCTTGCCATGACACTGCTGTCATCAGTAGGTGACGGTTGTGACTACAGTCTGATTTTCTCTCACCATGGCTGTAATATTGTCAGCTACACAAAAACAACCACACACACTTAGAATAATCCTATCCACCATTCTGCCTTATGAACTTTGCACTGTACTATTTAAGCTGTGTGGGCCTAGCTTCATGTCATGCAAATTAAAATCTGGTCCCTTTTTAAGAAGACTTTGCAGTTGCTGTTCTGACAA